ATGTCATGGTTAATCTCAATAATCTTTTCCATCTTGGTTTTGTTAGTAGTAGACTAAGATGTATTTGGCTAGCACCTTGTGTTGGAAGTTTGAAGCTCAATTTCGATAGAAGCGCTTTCGGTAACCTTGGTTTAGTTGGGATTGGTGGTGTGTTCCGTGACTGTTTTGGAAACATTTTATTTACCTATGTAAGTCCGATAGGGTCATACAACCGCTAACTTTCCCAAGCTTAGTGCTTTGCTAATTTGGTTGAAGATCTTCATAGATTGGAATCTTGGTAATAGCTACTGGGATTGGAGGTGACTCTTTGAAAGCAATTAGATGATGTAATAAGGAGCTGAAAATTCATTGAGAATTTCGGTCGTTATAGTTGCAGATTATGGGTCTGGTAGCTTCTGTCAGTCTCATTTTTCCATGTTTACCGTGAAGCGAACAATGTGGCTAATGTTTTGACTAAAGGTGGTGCCTCTTTACCTTTGCTCATTATCTCTAATGATGTAATTTCCTTTTTGTAGTTATTAATAAAAGGAAACATTTGTCAAAAAAAAAGTATTCGAGATTTTATTTTGGACTTTAAGCTAAAACATTGGCATATTATTAATAACCCAATTCCAAATCTAATGGTCAATGATAATTGTAACTTCCGTAAGTCAGAAATAAATTGTTGCGTATATTGTGTATATTACCTTTTTGTTATCTAGTCGGGACTACATTTTAGAGAGTATGAGAGATAAAAACGGTCTTAACGACCCCCCATTATAGGTGTAGTTTTTGCTAATTGGGCCTCCAATGATTCCAAATGTAGGGAGATGGCTGGGAGGTGGGGGGGGGGGGGATATTCGTGTACAGATAGGTTTCAAATTTTAATGCTAGTAAACAAACCATGGAATTCAATTAAACATTATTATAAAAGTCAGATTTGTATAAGGTGTTGAAGTAAGGTGCACTTCAAAATTATGCTGAAAAATTTGGTGCCACAAAGCTTTGTAGTGATATGAAAATCTATTGGTGCCCCCAATTTATAAAATTCAAAGTTCTAAAAATGGTAATGATTTAGCACATTTATAAATACTTGAAAATCTTGATGATAGATGGTCTACATAATGTGTTAGAAGATGAACTATTTTTAGAATTAGAAATCTTTTTTGTTTTTTATGTTTATGAATCTTGAGGTCGAGATGATCCATTTAAGTGTGTTTTCTAGCATAGAAATAACCTTCTCAAGTTGGTTTTTTAAGTGCACCTTACTCATACAACATAAAGTTAACACCTCATATAGACTTTTTTTTATAATTAATTATACGGAGCATCATCAGCTGCAATGTGCTTATTCCGTCTAAAAAGTGAGACATCGAATCAAGTAAAGATAGGCATATGAAATACAATATGAATACAAACAATATTGCAAGGAACAAATGCTTTGTCATAGTATTGACAATGTTGATGATCCAATTTGACATGCTCTTCTTGAAACCAATCCATTAATGCGAATCGGGAAGTGCGGGTTGAGGAGCTTTAGGGAGGTATCGGTATTGGCCAGGTGCCCTCTTTTTTCTTTTTCTTTTTTTCTTTTTTGAGCTTATCTAATGTTTTTTTAGGTATTTTAAACATGCACTTCTTATCTTTGGGCTTCCCCAATAAAATAGCCGTCGATTTCAAAGCGAGATTGAATCCTTCTCTCGAGGTAAGTGACTTTGCGTTCCCTGATTTTTTATTTGAGCGGTTTATCAAGCTTAAGCTCATCGAAGGACCAAAGGAGTACCCGAGTGGTATTTTAAATATTTTTTAGATGGGAAATTATCACAAATATACCTTAATTTTTACCTATTTAGAAAAAAAAAACCCAACTTTCATAAACCTCGTCCACACCTTTTTTTTTTTCAATTTTGGTCTAATATTACAGTACCTTACATACCGTAAAACCTAAACCCTGCGGCATTTTAAATTACGGTACTTTAAATACCGTAAAATCTAAGCCATATTATATGCCATTTTAACTACTGTATGGATATACATTAGATACATGTGAATATGGATATCTATCTATCAATATGGATATCTATCTATAGAGATATATATTGATAAGGTTATTGGTGTTCATAACTCTTGATTATAATAAGATTTGGTATTTATCTGATGTATTTATCCGCCAAATACCATCAGTTATGGATAGATACCACCTAAATAAGCTAGGTATCTATCTCTAGAGATATATATTGATAAGGTTATTAGTGATCTCTTGACTATGATAAGATTTGGTATTTATTTGATATATTAACCACCAGTTAAGGATAAATACTATCAGTTATGGATAAATACCACCCAAATATGCTATGTATTTATATGATAGTTAAAGTACCGTATAATATGGCTTAGTTTTTATGGTATTTAAAGTAGCGTAATATTAAATCAAGTGATTACTAGACAAAAATTAAGCTATATTTGTGATAATTTTCTTTTTTAGATCTTCGATTTGGATCAATCTGGATTTGGGTTTTGAAACATTACTCGAAAGTATGTTGCGTCATGATGACCACTAACACGCGAAAAAGTTCAAGCATTTGCCTTGGGTCATTGGGAGGCTAATACAATTAAATGCATTTTAGTTTTGAAGAAATAATTGATGTAACTTCAATTTATTGTGTTTCTTCGTGCCGGATAATCTAGAGAGAGAGAAAAAGGAAAAAGAAAAGGACGAGAGAGGAGACATGAGAGAGGGAGACGTGTTAGACAAAAGAGATTTATGTGAGGTTCTCAACTAGTTACCATTTATATACTATTAAAAAAAGAAAATTATTTCATGCACGGCTGGACCACATGACTACATATGCGGTCCAAAAAGTGTAGAGCATCCATCTTAAATATGGATGTAAGTAGGTGTTCCATCTAAAAATAATGGAAACTAATGGTCCAAATGTTTTCTTACTAATATTATTGTTTCTAGTTTTTAAAAGTTACTTATTTTTTCATATTCATGATCTCTATGTTAGAAATTACATGTCCTTAAAAATTAAGTCCAAAAATCCATCTTAAAAATAGATTTATTAATGGGCCCGCATGTCTACATATGCGGGCTTGACTGCATAGAAACCGAGTCGTTAAAAAAATATGCAAGGGAAAAACTACTCATACAAAATATGAAAGGACACTTGGATCCTACAAATTAGATAAACGGAATTTCAATACTCCCCTTCAAGCTAGAGCGTAAATTACACCTATGCCCCGCTTAGAACAAATTATTTCGACCATATTACGACCAAGGCCTTTGGTGAAGATGTAGCCCTTTTGATCCTTAGATTTTGCATTTGAAGTAGACACCGACTTACTAGCAATTTTTTCATGGATAAAACGACAGTCTACTTCAATGTGCTTGGTCCTTTCATGAGACCCTGAATTACTGGTTATATAAGTGATATTTTATTATTACAATACATCATCATAGGTCCAGCAACAACAAACCCCATCACCTGCATTAGTGTTTTTAGCTACACCAATTCACATAGAGTATATGCCATTGCTCTATTTTCATCATTTGCACTAAATCTAGCCATAACTTCTTGTTTCTGCTTCTCCAAGTTACCAAATTTCCACCAATAAATGTATAATAACTTGTGGCAGACTACCTATCCGATGGTGAACCTGCCCAATCAGCATATGAGTAACTTTCAATGGCTAAATAATTATTTGGCTTGTAAATCAAACCTTGATCTAAGACTCCCTTTATATACCTTAAAATTCTACAAACAACATCTCAAAGAGGAATCCTTGAACCATATGCATAAACCAACTCACAACACTTAACTGCAAAAGCAATATCATGCCTCCTAATGGTAAGATAAATCGGCTTTCCTGCCAATCTTCTGTACCTTCTTGGATCCCCAATCAATTGCCCCCTGATCATGCAATAATTTTGTATTTCCATCCATAAGCGTATCCATTGGTGCAACATCCAACATTCTAGTTTCTATCAACAAATCAGTCACATTTTTTTTTGGAAATTAATGTCATGCTTTGACCTGGTTGTTTCAATTTCGAGAAAATACCTTAGCTCTTCTAAATCCTTTGTAGGAACATATTGTTTTAGATGTTTTTTCAAATGGCTTATTCCTTCTTCATCATTGGCAGTAAAAACACTATCACCAACAAATACACTTAAAACAATTATTTCACAGCCTTGTTTTCAAAACCACATTGAATTATCTACATGATTATGTCAAAATCCATATGCTATAATAATTTAACCGAATTTTCAAACAAACAATGCACATGGGACTATTTTAGGTTAAATTCGCTTCGGGGTCTTCTTCAGTTTGGTGAGAAAAATGAAGCATCTCGGTGCTTTGGCCGATTCGGGAGAAGACTTTGGATTTTTTAATATAATATAAATAAATAAGATATTTACATGTAAAAATATATATAAATAATGGAAAAATTAAAAAAAAATATATAAAAAAAAAAATTTTATATTGATATTTCTTTGCTTGGGCTGAAGCTTCGGTAGAATCTGCCCGAAGCACACTTGAAAATGACATAAGTAGTCCAAATTTGGCCGAAGCAGTGGGACCAATATATAAAAATAATGAAAAACTTAAAAATAAAAATTTCAAAAAAATAAAAAAAGTACTTTTATATAGATATATCTTTGTTTGGGCCGAAGAGGCCAAAGCTTTGGCTGAATCTTTTTGAAATAGATTCAAATCTAACCGAAGCGGCCCAAAGCAGCCCGAATCTAACCGAAGCGACAACACCAGGCTTCGCTTCGCTTTAGTTTAGGCCTAAAATCTGAAATCTTCGGCCTCTTCGGCCGAAGCGAAGTGAATTTGACGACACTGGTTTTGAGCTATAAGTGACTTTCTTTAACTTATACACTATATCTGACTTCTACTGAGCAATATACCCAGTGGTTGCTCCATGTACACCTCGTCTTATACATCACCATGGAGAAAAACACTCTTCACATTAAGTTGCAACAATGGCCATCCCTCATTGGCAGCCACATATATAACTACTTGAGCTGAATTAAGTTTAGCAATAGGGGCAAATATTTCAGAGTAGTCAATGCCAAATATCTGCGTGTATACCTTAGCTATCAATCTCGTTTGTAATCTTTCTACAATGCCATCAGGTTGATATTTGAATACATAAACGCATCAACACCCAATGAACCCTTTTTCCAGTTGTTAACTCAGTGACTTCCCAAGTGTCATTTGAATTAAGTGTATTCATCTCTTCTTCCATTGCCCTCTTTCACCGGTAGAAGAAACTATTTCTTGATGAGTCTGAGGAATGTAAATAGATGAAATGACTAAAGCAAAACTTTAGTATGATGGAGACAAATTTGTAAATGTAACAAAACATACAATCGGATGCTGAGTACAAGACCTAATACCTTTAATCATCACAAGAAGGAAGTGGATTAGTAGACAAAGATGATGATTGAGTGGAAGGCTAAGTTGGTGGGGAATTTCCACCCTACATTTTTGTTCTAGTGTAAACCTTTATAGGCTGCTCCTGAGGAATATCATGACCGGTAGATGTACTAGATTCAATGGAGTCAGGTAAATGGGTTGAAAAGATCAACAAGAATACATAAAGCAGGATAAAAAATATTTTATCAAGTACACGACTCTCTTTTAAAAAATGAGTGTTTTCAAACAAAGTAACATCGTCACAAACAAATTTCTTTTATTGATTAAGATGATAACAATGATAACAAATCTGGAAGTGTGATACCTGAGAAAGACATACTTAATAGCTTGAGGTTCTAGCTTATCATTACCAATACCTAACATACAAACAAAGAAAACACACCCAAACACTCGAGTAGGAACAACAAACACTGAAACATCAAGAAAGAGAGTTGATTGTGGTATTTTTAATTTAAAATTGAAGAGGGCATATAATTAATTTAATAGCATGAAGTCAACAAGGCATCTTCGTAATGAACCTTTGGAACATGCATATTAATGAGCAAAGAACGGGTTACTTCAAGTAAGTGCTTATTTTTCTCTTTAAGCAATGCCATTTTGTTTATGAGCATGTGAACAAGAGGTTTGGGGTAAAATCCTATTGTGAGCAAAATAATTATAAAATTCTCCAGAAAGATACTCTTTAGTATGATCAGAATATAAAAGTACGCACATTATTACTGAAGCAATGATTTCATGCAACCGTTGTATAATAATGCAACAACCTTAAAAAACCATCTTATGACCATTTGTTTGATCCAAATTTTGAAATATACATGGTTTTCATTCTAATGAACAATCACAAAAAAAGAAAAAATTGAAAACACAACCTAGAAAATATTTTTTTAGCCCAATTAACATTGGCCGTTCATTTTGGAGTGATGCTTAGATCTAGGCCTTATAATGATTTTTTCATTTCCAATTTTTTGGATGGCTTTATTATCATTAGATGAATGATGTTAAAAAAATAAAAAAATGATTTTGAGTTTATAAAGGCTAAGATCTTGAAATTTATAAAATGAATGGTCTAGATTCGTTTTTTTGGAGGGGACTCATTTTGACCGTATCTAGGGTTCAAATTGAACTTTTTTTTTTTTGGGGCATTGATTATTGAGATGAAGAGAGTGTGTGTGCAAAATTTGAGGTCATACAAATACCACAAACATGATTTTCTAGAAGTGTCGTTGCATTATACTATGATACAACTGTTGCAATGGATCATTGCTCATTACTGAATTTAGTTTGGATCTTTTTGTAAAACAATTTATAATGGAGAAAATCTTGTATCTCTCATTGATTAAAAGGTGCAGTTTGCATACAGATGCATCCATAGGTGTAGACGTAAGGGGCACCTTCAAATTTTAACATGGTAAATAATTTTGATGTAAAATGTTCTTACGATTATCTCAAAATCTATTTTTATATCTAATTATAAAATTTTAAATTTCAAAAATGATTAAAATCAAGTAGATCTATAAACATATGAAAATCTTGAAAATGGACGGTGTAGATTATGTTGTAAAATGCACTATTTCTGAGACTTAAAATCTTTTTATTTTTCATAGTCATATATCTCGATGTTGAGATGATCAATCAATGGGTTTTTCAACATTAAAACTACCTTTTTCGATGGATTTTTTAGGGGTCATCCGTAGTTCTACATTATAAGGTAGCATCCTTTTATAAAATTTTTCCTTGATCAGATAAACTTTGTACTCTAGCTAAATCTCATACATTAGAATGAACCACGTAAATGGAATAGGTTTCCATTGTCAATTCTGAGACAAAATGACACCCTATGATGCTATCTCAATTGAAAAGCTCCACACTCTAAAGCAGATACAGATTCCAAAGAAGGAACTACCTTCAAGTTTTGAGAGAAGGATGACCCAGCCGACAGTGCCATACAAAAGGAGAATCACCACAGTGAAGAGCGACACCAATTAGGATGTGGTCCAAGTAATATAGGTCGTCTAACTCGTACCTGCCACCACTTGTCCTCTTCATCTTTAGATCCTAACAGACACACGAAGAATGATAAAAGGTTACAGAGCAATGAAGAGCTTTGGTTAATTTTCTCACATATAATAAACTGAAAGGGAACTTTGGAATGTATAATATAGATAACAAAGAAAGGGAAGTATACATAAATGTACTCTGCCCTGACACATTTAACATTGATCCATCAACAATGGTAACAAAAAAAATTAGGAGTACACTTATTTAGATATACAAAAATAGATGATTAATTAGTCATGTAATCAGAGGCTCCTCAATCAATAACTTAGGAAGCAAATTTCTCCAAGGAAAGAAGTATAGAAGTACCTGAATTAACAAGGGTGGTAGTAGAAGAAGAGGGAACTATTAGACTGTTGTACTTGTTTAACAAGACTATAATATTCTTCTTTGGAAAGCACAATAGAGTCACTTGCAAAATTTGATTGTTGTTGGTGATCACTGGCTCCATTCAGATAAAGGTCATCACTATTAGATGTGTAAGTAGCCGGGTTTGTCCAAGTAAGCTTACAAACCTTGTCCCAACACTTAACAATCGTATGATTCCTACGCCTACAATTCGTACACTTGTGAGGTCCTCCTTGCAACCATCACCTCGACCTCGGCCTTTTCCTGAATCACGATCATGTCCTCGACCTCTACCTCCAACATCTCTCACTACAAGTCTATTCAAGGTTGTTCCATCATTAAAACTTGAGTCATACGTTGAATACGTTGAATGCATGTGTAAACATTTGTGAGAGGTGGGAGTTCACTGTTTGCCAAGATTTGTCAACGTACAAAATGGTACTTAGGATTAAGGCCAGAAAAATATTTAGCAACCATAAACTCTTCATGATGCCTCTTTTGTAAATCTAGATCACCTATAGGCCGATATAGATTCAACTCCTCCCACATACCACTGAGGGTACTGTAATACTCATTCACACTCATTACTCTTTTGCAATTGAAACATTTCTCAAACAACTCATATACCCAACAGAGATTTTATTTGATAAATATGTTTCTTTCAAAGTGTCCTACATTTGTTTTAGCTGTATCAAGAAACATCACATTGGCACTTACTTGGAGTTCCATACTATACTCCACAAGCATATCATGATTATATAAATCTTCAACCGCCATTCTTCATATCGACTTCCAAATTTACTACGTTTGTCCTCAACCAAGTATTTCAGTTTCTCCTTACACTAAGGGCTACTTTGACAAATTGAGCCCATACAACCTAACTAGAGTCATATCATTTTACCTAGGTGATTTGTATCCCACAATTTAGGGAAGACTAAGGATTTCATATTTAATTTCCTTATCCATGAATATATAAAATAAAGGGAAACGAGGGCAACTAGGATCGGCACTACTCACAAGCCTAGTACAATGTTAGAAACCACATAAAGAGGAGATAGACATTTATCATTCAGATCCGGCTACGCTCTCACACTCGAACAAATTCCTGAAACACCACATTAAACACATCTATGCATAGACACGTAGCCATCATTGAAACGGAGTCACAACCTCTTTGTAGATCTTGATCCCTAATGAGAAAACACAGACACAACAATATTGCCATGCTAATAGTAGATCTACATGACCCTCTGCACACAAAACCCTGTGAAACAACCTTAGCATTTAGATGGAATAGTCCTAGGATACTCCTTGACAAGATCAACATCCAAGGGCTAGGGATTGCTTTTTTTTTCTTTTTTTTAAAGGAAATGGGAAGATGAAAGTTTAAGGTTGAAGAAAAAGGGAAGATGGAAGTTCATGGTTTAGATAATGGGACAGATGGAATTTTAGGAATTAGAGAAAAGGAAATATGAAAGTTTAGGGTTTAGAGAAAGGGCAAGATGAAAGTTTAAGGTTTAAAGAAAGAGGAATATGAAAGATCAAATCTGCTCTGATACCATGTTAGAGAAACTAGAGAGAGAAGAGAGAGATAAAAGACGTGAGAGGGAGAGTGAAGACAATGACATGAGGTTCTTGACTGACCCATCACGAACATATTAAACCACTTATATATTATTTAAAAAATGATTGCATACAAAGAGACTATTTACGTTTAATACAAACAAGTCACAATTACTTATAACCATCCGATGTGCAATCCGATAGCTTGGGTGTGCCACAAAGTTCGAGAAAATTTCTTTTGAAGTTTTAACTTGATCAATAGAATAAATGTAACTACCCAAGTTCATATCCAAAGGTCAATGTCAATTGTAACTATCTTGTACCAAAGGTAAATGGTATTATTATATACTTTTTCATTTTAAAAAAAAAATGTGAGAAGGGAAACTGCCCATGCAAAATATAAAAGGACACTTATATCATAGAACTTGAATAAAAGAATAACACTTCCTCGAATTAGATGGAGTGAAGGAGAAAAAACTCCCACTGAACTTGTTACTCAAACGGGAAAATTAACAGTTCAAATGCCTTGCCACAAAAATGGAAGATGCAATAAAACTGTTTCAAAACTAAAAAATCGGAGTAGCTGATATTTGTTTTCTTTTACCAAATGGTGCCTCCATTCTACTTTATTTGATATATCATCTCCTCATTTGTTTCATCACTAATCCTTTGATTATGTTTACTTAATTCATAATTTGGCCAAATTTTATAGCTCTTTTATGATGTTCCACCTTATTTTCATATGCTTGTATATGAGATATCAATAGGTAATATTACCTTTTCTTTCCTGTGTTAACCAATATCAACTTGGGGCTGCTTATTACCTAGGGATGTAGTTTTGAGGTCGTGGGAGACATCTTGGGTGCATATTGAAGGATGCTCCATACGTGCATTAATGTGAGACAAGTTTGAGGAAATGTAACTCATTAATACTTTGATTGAAACTGTTACAAAGTGTAACAAAAGCATGTGGGACAGAATTAAAACATAATAGCCACAAGTGCCAAAATCATTTACAGAATAAGGAGCTTATTCGAGAAAGAAAATGTGATGCAACAGTAAATATGATGTAACAATTAATACAAGAAATCTACCATACGTTGAAGAAACTGTGATTTATTTTGGTAAGGAAATTATTAGATAGATTGGAAATGTTCATCCGGTGCACGACTTTTCCGTTGCTTGGTTCTCGCTATGCTCAACGTGCCAACCCCCGAGTTTGTAGAACAAAGCCTTGCCATTTCATAACCAATAGGAAGTCTCCACAGCTGACATGACTCCGCTCCGTACCAACGAG